CATAAGGCAGGGCAATGATTACCCTTCATCAATAGGGCTGTTTCTCCAGGATGGGCTTCCCCAGTATGGAACAAAGGAGCAGCAAAGTGTTTTGTTCACATGTAGAGTGCTGCATCTGTAAAAAATTGCATCTGTGGGAAATTGCATTTCTGCCCAGCAGGAAATGTCCGTACATAATCAGCTGGGGCTTTGTACTGAGACAGGACAGCTTAAGCCTTACCTAGTTATGCAGACTTATACAGTTGTACAGCCCCAAAATAATCCTTGTTTAGTGTCTGACACTTACCAAGTCTCTATTTTATTTTTTTTAATTCCAAGTCATAACAAGATTTGAATTTAAGGAAGGGTAGGTTAAATGAGTTTTCTTGCCTTTGTAAATCTGCTATCAGACCTGTGGTGAAATCAATATCTTCCAGATTTTAGCTCCAAGATTACTGGAGAATATTTTCCATCCATATTATCCATCTATTCACCTCAATGTCATTCTTCCTTGCTAAAAAGGAAGGGTGAGTGGAGTGGAACATTATATGGCTAATGACTTACTAGCCTTCAAGATGAAATCTTGGACTCTATTCTGGGCAGAATAAGTGATCACTCCAAACTGATTCTCAGGTGAGTATCAAGGACACAGAAGCGGTAGCCTGAATTTTTGTGTCGCTCATGGGTTTTCTACTTTCTCATCCATACTGGCTTTTATGGAAGATCAAATGTCTCCTCTGTCTTTGAACATTTATAAAAGTAGACATAGAAAGCTGCATTCATCCCATATTTCTCTTTCTATATAAATTTCATTTTTTAAATGCACATGTTTATCTGTTCCATAGTCCTCTTTAATCTAATTTATTCAGTACAATTTACAAAATTCCTAAAGCTTCCCAGTACAGAATAAGCAATCTTGCTAATAAGGTCAAGCATAGCTTATTATTCTAACTACCCTGCATTTTTTAGTACTGGTATTTTTAAGCCTAGAACTGTGAAGAAAACAGTCAAATAATTGTACAACTTTACGAAGGAAGGCAACAGCCCAATGAGAGATTAACCTAGGTTGATCCTCATAAACAAACCATACTTACTTGAAAACCAGTGGGTTAAGAATTAAATGAAGTGAGGATACTGCCGTCATTGGGTGGTTAGTTGACAGGACATGCAATCAGAAAATCAAGTAGAGGCACAGTCAATGAGTAATTTAAAAAGATATATATTAATACCGATATTTTCATTTTGGAGGAAAATAGTCCCTTTTGATTCTATTCAGTCTCCTCAATGCAAGGAAATCTTTATTTCCTGAGCTGCCATGACACTCCTCCTGCTCAGGGCTAAGAAATTATTGTGACAGGTGTGCACAGACAAATAGGTCCATAAGGATTGCTCATCTGACTCTCCTCAGGGCAATATCATTAATGTAAGCTGTGCATGACAGCTTATGGGGAAAGAAATGCCTTTCAAAAAGCCTACCAATGCAATGACAGTGAGTTGCAGGAACCACTAAATAAATTTTCTGCAGTGAACTCCTCAGTGAGCTTCGATTAAATAGGGATAGTACTAATCTCTACGTGTCCACACTTGAGACCTTACATTGGCAATATTGCGTGGACCAACTAAATGAGTTTGAAAGTCTTTCACACATCAAGATCCATTAGAATTTCTCTTTTCTTTGCAGGATGAAGCAATGATGTTCCCTCACTCAGAGTTGATTTAAGCTCTCAGTATACACACCGTTATACTGATACCACACAATGCTGGCCACCTTCCATCACTGCAGTGTCCTGGAAGATGAGGCCTGGCCTGGAAAGCTGTCTGGATGGTGAACAGAACCATTTTTGTAACAAAATTTGAAAGATGAGAACCTCACATAAACTGCAGTGCTGATGCTACTGGGATTGCACACAGATGGTAAGCCTGTGACCACACTGCCTGAGGCTTTGTGCTCACCAGACCTCACAAATTTGTTTGTAGGAAATCTGGGAATGCACATCCTCAGGAAAACCCCATATGCTGCAGGACAAATGTTGGAGATACAGCAAGAAGCACTCCTCTTTTACAGTTTTTCTTCCTTTTTCTTGTAAGCAAATCACCCATATATGTGGTAAATGAGCTTAACTATCTCCATGCAGCTTTTACTCAAATGGTTTCATTTGAGCACTTCTTTAGCTACAAGTATCCCCATGCTCAGAAATGGATCTGTCTCTAGGATGAAGTGAGCCATCTGCTTAGCTGTGCATTGCAGCACACTCAGCATATTAGGAGAGAGAGAGAGAAGCAAGCAGAATAACTACATCCAACTGGAAAAGCAAGTACAAATGCATTTACACTGAAATTTGACCCAGGCCCTGCAGTTTACCCTTCAAACTCAATAACAGCACAGGCATGTTAAAGGTCAGGACCATAAAACACCTTTGTTTCACCTCTCTTCTAAGGATAGCACAGCTATCTGAGCTGCAGGGCCTGCCAGTCTGCCAACAGAGTGGCTAAGTGCTCTCTTAGGGGACAGTACCATTAACTGTATCGTCAGCCACACTTCCTGAAATAGCCTGTTTCTCCTCAGAGGCCATTCTAAACACCATCGACATATTGCAGGAACTTTTGAGACCAGACAGGAAAACAGCAAAAACTCTCTCTTTGACATCAGCCCAATCAAGTATTTCTAGCACAGCAAGAGCCTTCCAAGAGGCCAAGGTTTGATACCCCTCAGGAATGACAAAGTTAGTAGGCATTGAACCATTACCTTAGTGAAGATTGTGTCATGACATAAGACAATGAAAATGGATGGGTCATGCAAGACAATTCTTGTAAGCTCTGGTTTTCAAAGAAATTGCCAAACTAGGAACTTTCCAGACAATCTGTTGTGAGATCTTAACTCCTTTACACACTGCCAGGCCAGATATTAAAAAAGCAGACACTTCTCTAGCAGGTCTGCTTGCTCTGTAAAATTACTGCTTATAGTTCTCCTCTTGCAGTACAGCTGAAGTTGGGAATAGCTGTGTCTCACACGCAGCAAGCAATTAGAAGCACAAGCATTTCCATTTGCTCCCATGCATCATTTTTAATCTCATAAAAAAAGACTAAGCCACAAAACTAAGAGACGGAGGGTTTTTCCAGCTTAGAGGCAGTTAGATGCACTTTTGGTGTATGCCTTTATGCTACCATGGAAGAATTCAGCTCTATGATTTACAGCTGTATGTGCAAGTTGAACCCAAGGGTGCTGGTGTGAGCTCTTCAGGTAATGGGCAAGTAATGATAAATATGCACTTATCTTAGAATGCAGTTGCAATCACTGCTTGATCCTGAAGATGTAAGCATGGTGTAAAGACCAGGCAACAGTCCTAATGTGGAAACACAAACTGAGCATGCTTTACTACTGGTGACCATTGGATGGCGTTTCTCTTCAGAGTACCAGCAATTCAAAGTTCATGGGGAGTCAGTGCATTTTAGGATTCTTTTTTGTGTTGTTCAGTAATTTAGTTTCCAGTTACACTCACATACTGCTTCATCAGACTGAAATCTGAGTGACTTATTTTGTACTCCTGTACAGATCTGAACACCAAGTGTCACCTGGTCACTCTTGGAGTTAAGTGATCTTTACTAACATTGAACTATGTGCCATTTACCTGGGCAATAGGAGGATGCCAGACACGAACAGACCTGCAGTAACTGCTTCTATGAAGTCTCTTATTCCCCACTGATGCTGCTCAATATGCAGTCTTTCAGCATTACGGGAATGAGTGCCTTCACCTCCATGGAGGGTTGGAACAGGCATCCTGCCAGGCTGGTGGAACAGCTGATGTGCAGTAACTTGAGCCTGTAATGCTGTGCTGTAGCATTAGGCAGTTCTGTAAGTCTTCCTGGGGTCGTAGCAACTGACAGTGGAATGAGGGTCTGCTTCCTTAGGGTCTCAGAAAAAGCATTGTTCTCAAGTCAGATCTAGATCACTGCTAACTCAAAAACCTCACATCACACCCCTTTGCCCCACGGTAGATGGGCCTCCAGAATCAGGACAGCTTTGGATGCTGGAAGATAAGACAGAGGAAGAATGAGGACTGAAAGATATAGGAGTGCCTGTTTGGTGGTTCTCAATATCCGTCTGATAAGCAAGATCTGGATGTGATTTTTTCCAGAGCTACTCTTTTTCACACACAACAAAGGAATCAACCTTTCTGCTGGTTTTTTGTCCAGCCTGAGTAAAAGTGCAAGAGCTACCCAGGACACTGGAGTTCACTTGAGAGATTATAGCTGTAGCCTGTAGATGGGATGTCAACGGCTGATTTTAAGAGGTTAAAAGTGTTTTTCAAACTTTTTTTTTTTTGCATCATTTCCTTCCAGTATGATTGTTCTACAAATCAGAGTACTCACTTTTAATTAAAGTGCAAAAAGAAACACTGGGAATGATGTTAAATTGTTGTGATTTGATCTGTCTTGGGTTCATGGGCAAACTTCTTAGTAAGCAATTTGTTACCGCATTTATGAAAAAGAAGGAAATAATCCAGAATGCTAAAACCAGAACTTGGAACAGTTGTTTTAATTCTGAACAGCTGCTCTGTTTCACCATCCACCTCTTAGTATTGTCAGCAAGCATTTTTTGTGACAAAGATGCTACTCATATACACACACGTGCAACGGCTTGTCATGGAGACTCTCTTATTTGCCTGCAAACATTTTCTGTGGGCTGTTCTTCCTTGATTGTATACTATTCCTGGGAGATTCATTGTAGTCCTGATTAACCATTCTCAACCAGGCAGTCAGCAGGCATCAAACAGCCTGCAGGATGAACTGACCCAACACAGAATGCAGACTGTAGAAGAAGACATGCACAATACTCTCTAAGTGTGTTGCATTTGATGGACACTTGTAAACAAAGGATCTCATCTTTAAAAAGGAATTTTTGACTGCAACAAATGATATAGAGAGATCACAGATATTTGTACCAAGGTGTTGTTAAATGTGATTTTATTTCCCTTTCCTCTATTCCTTGGATACAACTTCATAAGAAAATTTCCCCAACAAAGGATTTCAGAGGCTTCTCTCTTTTTGTTCTCCTAGCCTTTCAGAAGTTCTTTCTCTTCTTTCCCCTGTATATGGACATAAAAGACTATGCTGCAGAACTTTACATACAGTTTGGAAATAAATAATGGATGATTGACTAAGCTGGTGACAGACTGTAGCAGCAGCAGCAGCTGCATATGCTGGAAGCTTGCTGCTGTTTGAGAATTCTGCAGTTGAATTAAGGCAATGAGGGATCTCTTCTGTTCACAGGGGATTGACACCATTTTCATCACAATAGGAAATAGGTGAGGCTTGTGCTTTGGCAGGAAGGATTTGATGAAACAACTCTCACATGGGAAACAGTCCCATCATGATGAATGAATGCACAAAAACTGGACTGAGGTCTTACATGCTATACTGCTTTCCAAATTGATACCTGGTTTCAATATATATAAACTTGCTTCCTCATAGCAACCTTTAGAGTTCCAATTTATAAAAAGCTTACCTGACAGCATAAATGCTACAGTGGATTCACATCCACCTAGAAGAATCATAGAATGGTTTGGGTTGGAAGGAACCTTAAAGATCACCTTGTTCCAATCTACCTGCCATGGGCATGGACAACTTCCACTAGCCCAAGTTGCTCAAAGCTCCATCCAGCTTGGCCTTTAACAATCCTAGGGATGTGTTCTCTAGAAGCTTCTCTGGGCAATCTGTTCTTGTGCCTCACTCCCCTTATAAAAAAAAAAAAAGTCTTTATGTCCAATAAATGTACCCTCTTTCAGTTTGAAGCCACCCCCCCATGTCATAACACTACCTGCCCTTGTTAAAAGTCCCTCTCCAACTCTCTTCTAGCCCCCCTTAGGTACTGAAAGGCTACAATAAAGTCCCTCCCTCCAAGCCTTCTTTTCTCCAGGCTGAACAACCCCAACTCCCTATGCCTCTCTTCATAGGAAAGATTCTCCAGCCTTTCAATGCCCCGCCAGAGCCCAAGTGCCCAGCCTCCTCAACTGTCTCAGGAACCTTTCCAATTTCCTTACAGAAGTATCCTGAAATGCAGAGAATCTGTTCCATATGCCTGTAAATTAATTGTCTTATGTGCAGGCAGAAGCAATTGTAGCTGGAGGAAGGCTGGGACAGCTCACAGATATGTAAGATCCAGTATTTTTCACAATATTTACCATTTCCCCCACATCTTCCAGCCAAGAATAGGACTCCAAAAAGACAATTTTCTTCAGGTAACCTGTGAACAGGAAATTATGGTTCAGTGAGTCACAGATCCTAAAATATCCTAGGAAGCATGTGATCTCTGCATAATACTACTATTAATAATAATTAAGCAATGCAAGTGTATGCTTTTGGAACATGCTAAGGAAAGCTCAGTGCAGAGGAGGAGAGACAGGCACACTCAGGCAGTTTTGGATACTCATAGCACCTGGGGGCATCCAGATAGACAGGTACACCCCATCTATTACAGAATGGGAGAGATAAGTGTGTTCTGCTTCTATGGTCAGAAAATCCCTCACCACTGGGCTAAAGACAGGCACAATAGCTGATACTGACCAATACCATGACCTCATCTCATGGCACACAGGTAATGACTGCAAACTGGCTTCATTTTATCTGAATGTATGTATGCTTTATTTCACAGTTCAGTGCATCAATATAATATATAAACTAACTCTTTCTGATGCTTTCAGGTTCCTATGATGTTTTCAAGCTGAATATCACTAAAGGTGTTGACCACTGGCAAGACTGTATGGGCAGTCTAATGGGCCTGAGACAGCTGAAATCTAGACCTGAACATCACATCATATGTTAAATGAAATGTGAGGTATCTCTCCAGCACAAATCTTGTCTGTCTTGGAAAGGTGACTGTCACAGACATCTTTTCATGAAAATCCTATCATTAGGATTTTTCCTGCTGAGAAGCCGAAAAGCTTCAGCAACAAAATGTAAACAATAGTTATCTGCTGCTGTGGAATGCAACAGGTGCATCTGTGATTGGCCAGTCCTGGATGTTTACAATTAATGGCCAACCACGGCCCAGTTAGCTTAGACTCTCTCTCTGAGACACAAACCTTTATTATTCATTCCTTTCTATTCTTAGCCTTCTGAGATGAAACTTTTCCTTTTATTCTTGTTAGTGTAGCTATAATGTAACATATATCATAAAATAATAAATCAAGCCTTCTGAAACATGAGTCAACATTCTCCTCTCTTCCCTCATCTGAAAACCCCTGTGACCACTGTCACAGGTGACAGCTTCTCATGTTTTCCTCCAAGCACCACATTCCTCTTGAAAAGCAAACAAACAAACAAAAGCAGTCCCCTATGCTGTGGTCAGTGTGGTGACCCTATGTCTGTGTGATGTTTCCTAAATATTTTAGTACAGCCCACAGTGCTTAACTCCTCTCCAGGAAGAAGGATCTGGTGGACTAAACTGACCTTTGCCAGTCATCCTGCACATCTTATGGCAGGTTTGAATTCTCTGGCTGAGAGATCCAGCTCTCAGCTGAGGGATACTCTTTGCTATCAACAAAGGGTCTAAGCTGGCAAATAAACAGCAACCATTCAGACATTTCTGTTATGGTCTGGTTTGGGATTTACAAGCTTGCGGCATTCATCCTTACAGGCACCAACAATGTCAGGAAGAGAGTTTGGACATTTCTGCAAGAACTACAAGGTGGAAAACTCATTTGGGTGCTTAGGCAGAATTTGGGACTAAGCCACAGTTTGGTATATTCAGTATAGTTCATAATGCAAGGACCACCCAGTTTTATCACTATTCTGTGACCATTTCTGACCAGATCTGCACCCACAATGCCAGTGGCCACTGCCAAACTCTTCTGTAAAAAAACTTACACTTTTCATAGCTTGTTTCAGACTACCACTGTTGATCTGTAACCAAAGGAAGACATCGCAAAGATCCCTTGAACAGAGAGGGTGGAAGAGGAGAAAAAGTCACTTATGTCTTAGTGCCCCCTATGCCATGTAACTCCCTGGGCTCAGGCAAATGCTGAAAAAGGGAAGCAACTACTCCCAATGTCACTTTGCTACATTACCCTCCAAGAAAACAGTTCCTTCTTCGATAGCTTCTGCAGCTGCTCAGATCTGAGCAATTAATCCTCTGTGGCAATCTCCTTTCCTCTGGCAAAGTCAGTGTTCCAGCACAAGAGATATATGTTGTCCTTGTGAATTCTCCCAAGCAGCAATCAATAATGGTACAATGAAACCTCTGAAATTACTTAAACTTACTTTGTGTAATATGACTAGCAGTCAGATCAAAACAATGTCCCAACAGGAATTTTCCTTCCTTAATATTTAGGTTCCACACATCAATTCCACTCTAGCTACTGTGACTAATATCCACCACCACCACACCCGCCCCCCAGGATTTCCTGATTTTAGATCACATGTACTTTGAGCAGGATTTGTAAGTGATTTATCTCACTCTTGGCTTGAGGTACCTGGAAATGCTGAGCATCCATTTTCATAAAGTAAGATTTCTTGAAGATGTAGCTAGTAGGGCACCTGGAAATGAAAGCACTTGAAATCATGTAATCACTGCTGAATGCCTTAGCTATAATTTCCCTTGTGAAAGCATTTTCAAAATTGTACTTCTATCACAATCAGTGTGATGCTATTTCCTTCTCCTTGTGGCTCTGGATTTTGGATTCAAGTGAGTAGACAAGTGTCTGTCCTACACTGTGACCAAACCTCAACAAGGTCCAGAAACTTAGCAGCAGGGACTAACATTACCAATGCATAAAGCACAACTCATTGGCCCTGCTAACAAGGAATTATCCAAGCACTGGTCCCAGACCTGCATTAATACCTTTACATGGAGCTATGCCACACAGCTATCCCAGTTTGTCCAGCACTGCAACACCTACACCACAGTAGGCTGTACATACCCCAAAGAAAAACTCAAGTCTCAATTTTAAAATGTTCTCATGGGTGCAGAGAGAAGCTTGAACACATTGCACCACAGCTACAGCCTTATCATGTAAGAGTTGCTTGGGTAATGAAAAGATGCATCCCAATATATTATTGAGAAAAAAAATACACTTTGGTTTTTTCATCCATCCTCTAGTTTTTAGCACGTGGTAAGACCTACAAAATATCTTGGCACAACAGTACACCTAAATACATCCAACTGTTCTAATATTCAATGCAGATACGGTGTTAGGCCTAACAAAACGATGCCTCATGCTCCACACAGTTTTTCTGCTGTTGGTCTGCAGCAGGAGAATCACTCTCCACTGATACCCCCAAACCAGGACACGTTCTAGGCATCAATGAGCATCGACCCATTTTTCAGCTTTTCAGCAGCACATAGGAAAATCTGTTTCAGGAAAATCAAAATCCCTGAGTTACTGGTGCCAGGGCAGTTACTGGTCCTTGGCTTCTGCTGCTCTGATGCAGAGCACACAGGAGATTTCATGTTCTGGCATTTCTTTGCCCAGTGATACAGAGTATACACACCGAAACACTTCGAGGGACCCCGAACAGGTGTTGATGGTGAATAGCCACTGGTGGGATCTGGGAGAGGAGACGGAGCTGGGAAAAGGGGATGAGGAGGGGAATGTTGGAGATGGAATCCCAGCCTGCCGACAGGGAGGCGATACCCTCAGGTACGGGAGGGCAAGGCACAGGAGGGCAGAAGGGAGCCGGCTGTGGGGGCTGGAGTGAGCTCAATCTCAGGGAGAGCAGGACGGCGGGCAGGGGTCCGTGGGGTCAGCCAGTCCGGGGCGCTGAGGGTCCCGGCGTACGCTCGCCCCTTGCCGGGCCGGCGCGGTGAGCGGTGAGCGGAGCCGGCGCATCCCCACGCCCGAGGCTCGCCCCCGCCGCGCCGCGCTGCGCCGGGCAGGGGTCGCAGCGGAGCGGGGGGCGGCGGTGCCCACGGCGGGTGGCGGGGGCGGGCGGAGGCGGGCGCCCCGCGGGCGGCGGGGCGAGGGAGGAGGAGCGGCGGCCGCCGGAGGATGGGAGCGAGCGGCGGAGCCGCGGAGCGGCGCGGGGGCAAGGCCAGGAGCGCGGCGGCGGGCGCCGCGGCATCGCCCGCGTAGGGCGGCGCGGGAGCCGGGCGTCGCCGCGGCCATGGAGAGGGCGAGCCCGGCGGCGGGCAAGCTGAACGCCGGCGGCCGCGGGGCGGGCGATGGGCACGGCCCCATCGGCGGTGCCCAGCCGCGGGCGGCGGCGGCGGGCAGCGCCGAGCCGGGCGAGCTCATCGGACGGGCGCTGGATTTCAAGAGCGAAGGGGCGCAGTGCTACAAGGACAAGAAATTCCGGGAGGCCATCGGCAAGTACCACCGCGCCCTGCTGGAGCTGAAGGCTCTGCTGCTGCTGCTGAGCCAGGAGCCGGCCGGGCAGCGCCCTCCCGCCGCCGCCGCCGCGGCGGGGCTGAGCGAGGAGCAGCGGCAGGCGGTGGAGGCCATCGAGGTTGACTGCTACAACAGCCTGGCAGGTCAGCGGGGCCGCGGGCGGGGGGCGGCGGGTCCCCACCTGCGCCGCGCACACCTCCCTCCCCCTCCGCAGAGCAGCGCTGCCGCCCCGCTCCGCTCGCCGCATCTCCTTCCCTTCCGCTGGCTTCCATTTTCGTGTTCGCGCTCCCGCTGGGCACAGCCGCGTTGCTCGGGCAGCGCTGGGGAGGGGGCGCACGGCCGCATCTGGCGCTCGGGCTCGCCCGCGACCCCCAGCCCTTCTCCCGGGCGGCTCCATCCGCCCCCGATGAATCCGTGCCCTCCTCCCCCGGGAGACAGGTGGCAGGGCGGCGGTGCGTGCGTGGGGCGCTCCGGCTGACAGAAATCGTGGTTTGTGAAATGGCCAAGATTGCCTGCTGCGCTGTACCCTCAGCCCGCGATGTCCTTCAGTCCCTTCGCCGCAGCTCCGGCTCTGGAGCCTGTAATTATGGTATTACAAGGAGACGGACTCCAACCACATTTGATGTAAGGAAGGGGAAGGGTTTGGGCGCAACTGCAATACCTCCAAATAGTTCTACCAGATATAAAAATAATTTTTTGGCTTCTTAGCACTGAAAGTTGAAAGCCAATACAGTCCTGGCTTCCAGTCATCACTGTGGTCAGTAGACATTTGATCATGCCTCCCTTTGCTCCTTGCCATCTGTTTAGAAGTGCTGCAGGAAGATGGAGAGGAGTGAGGGGGGGGTTTAACTTTGTAGTCTGATTCTGAAGTCCTTACAGAAACAGAACTCCTGTTGACTTCAAGAAGCTTTATCCAAACAAGTGCAGGATCAGATGTTATTTTTGGTCCCCAGCAGCACATGGTTTTTTTCTTTCCAAACCTGAAAGCATCTCTACAACAAAAACTTGTGCCTAGGTACATACAGAGAAGAGAGCATTCATAACTTGGACAAGACACACAAAATAACAGCATTAAAAAAGCTCTGCTGTTTTCCAGAAGGATGAAGGGTCACTCATCACCCTTTATATCCTTGGGGGTAAAAAATGGTGCAAATCAGGACATTAGCTTTTGGCTTTCTAGACAGAGTTCGTTAGCTTTGTTTCCTGTTCTCTAGTGCTAGAAAAGATGCAGTATAAAGTGAATGGTTTGAAACACCGAGCCAGCATCCTCTCGTCATAATGCATGCCAATCTCTTACATTCAACATGCCTTTTGGGATGTAATGAGGAGCACGATTTAGCTCCTTTTCATCATGTTTCCAAATACTCTTCCTTCAAAAGCCTATTGAAATCTTGTAGGTGGAGAGGCAAGTGAGATTTCAGAGCGATACCATAATTGCACAGATGTAATTTTGTCTCTCTACAAATTTCCGTTCACAGGTTTATTAAAATCCATTGATTGTATTTGGCAAGGATCATTTAGATTGGCAGGGTTACACAAAGAGCCCACAATACTCTGAACAATATAGCTTGGTGAGCTCCTGGGCTTGAAAAAGGGCTCACAGGCTCTGTTAGATACAAATGAGACGTGGTAGGTAGATGGTAAATGAAGTGGGAGAGACAAATGGAATTTGCTTCTGAGGCACTTTCTGCCAGTACACAAGTTCCACTTGCTAGAAATGTCTTGACTCCTGCTGATGGACTTGTCATTGTTGTTGTCCAGCTCACTTTTTTACAGTTTCATGTTTGTGCAAGGAATTTTTGTCACTGTTGGTTGTATTTGATCTTGTCAGCAGTAGCAATTGGTGTGAGAAACATTCTCCATCTCTATCCTAAATATGAACAGATTTTTTCTAAATTTAACCAGTATGAACACAGGAGGAGGTGAGTATAATTAACCCTGGACTTACAAGGAGTACTTTTCCTGGGATAACCTCACAGCAGGTCAAGCTGTCATTTTGCACAGGCGGTTGTCACATGTTTTCAGTAGATGGCATGCACAGAGCAGAGAACAGCAATTGTCTCAGAAATGCACAGCTTTGTGTGTGTCTGCTGAGCTATCTGCAAGCAATTTTAAAGAAATGCCCTACATGCTGGAGAGGGGAGTGTGCAGTTAAACTGGAATTGGAGTGTTTTTACTCCTAGTCACAGAGCTCCCATTCTAGCAGGAGGATCAGTGAATTCACGTTGAAAAAGAAAGGAAGAGAGGAGAGGGCGTTTCCTCACAAATGTAACAGTAATTAATATATATTTCTAATAGCAGCTTCAAGACATGCAGCAGTGAGACTTCATTTTCTAAGTGTGATGCAGCAGAAGACACCAGTTCCTTTACGCCGTGGGCTCTAGCAGAGGCACCAGCACGTACTGTTACAGCTGAAATCAGTGTTACTTGACATGGGGGGCAGAGGAGATGCAGGGAGTTTTGCTTCTGAGCACTGCTGGCTGCCTAGAGCTGTTTCTAAAATAAATAAATCTGTATAGTGCAGAAAGCATAACAGCAGTACATGTTAACTCTGGAGAAGGCAGCTTTTCACTTAGCTCTGAAGTATAGCCGGTAGCATTACCAGCTGTCATCTGAGTGTCCTTATTAGCAAGTTCTTTTAGCACCTCCGCTTGCTCTCTAAGCCTGGCATTTGAGAAGCCCACCTTGCTTTTGCACTGTCGTTTTTCATGTGGGCACCACACATCCACCTGTCAGAGATGCTTTGCATCACAGCTACAGATGCACACATACATCTTGGCTTCTTTAGATGAAGCATGAGAGTCAGAGGGGAGCATCAACTATAGGTAAATATACACATAGGTGAGAAATAAACCCAGAGGGGATTTTATGTGATCTCATGGGTAAAGGCTGGTGTTGTTAGTTTGGTTTTTTTTTAAATCTGACCAACTGCATGAGTAGGCACATGTGGGCAAATACTAAATGGTTTTCAGTGCCTGTCATTGCCTGCTGAAGGTAAATTAGGCAAAGATGTGCATACAGATTCTTGTTTAGGTCCACTAGTTTTGTAGACCACCTTCAAGAGGCAATTCTATTGTAAGATGGGGTGGCCAGCTCACATATTTATTAAAAGCCCCCCGATATTTGGTGTGTTTCCAATGTCTGCTGTTGTAGAGCTGTGAGGTACACTCACAGCCTAAACTATTTAGCCCATTTCAAAGGATCCCAGATCTCCTGGTCTTAAGTTCTTGTGATTTTTAAAAACTTACTCTTTTAAATCAGCCAAGGATTTTCAGAACTTGCCATTGGCAGAGCTGCTCATGTTTCTTTCACTAAGCTGCTAGCTCGGCTTCATTTTAAGCTCCAAGAGTTTTGCCTTAAAGGGACTGCCCTTCACAACTGTGCTGCTGCGTTCTTGCATGGGCCTGCCAATACCCCGTCATTTTACCACAAGTCATCCTGATGAATGTCACCAGAGGCAAGAGCAGCAGCATGGCCAAGGCTCCCAGAAATTGCTAGGGTAGGCAAAGACAAAAGCCTACCAGCAGCATAGAGCCTTGCGGAATGAATGCAGGGTTGTATGCAAACAGTCCTTTCTTTATGACTCACTGGCGGTCTCTGACCTTGAGGAAGTCATTTGACCTCTTTTTGCCTCTCTCAGCCCTGTTGAAAAATAAAGAACAAGGACCATGATCGCATCCTCATGGTGCATTCAGCTGAGTTTTCTACAAGTTAGTGGTTTATGTTTTTGTAAAAAACAGATGGATGTACAAAGAATGCTTGTGGAAAAGTAAACTGGCCAAATACACATCAGGTCTTGATCTCCCTTCCACTCATACAGCATACATATTTGATCTAGAAGAAGCTCAAATGCTTTACATACTGCATGCAGATGGGGATCATTTATCAACTACAAATGCAACCACTGAATGCAATGATTATTTTATGCCACCATTACTGCCTAAAAGTTTACAGGATTAAAAGCACTATGTCTACTCTGCAGAAAGAAACAAGTCCTAGTCATTCCAGAGCAGCAAAATGCTAAGGGTAAGCACAGTTTTAAGCTTTTTTGGTGAGGGAATGTTGCAGTGTGATAAGCAAACCTCTGCTGATTTTCCTAAGCATGCAGAAATTCTAGAGCTAATTCTGGCAGGAGAAACAGAACCAGAGAGAGATCTGGGTATGACAAGTGGCACCGGGGGATCTGCTTGCTAATCCTCCCTCTGTGCTAACCAGCTGTATTATCTTCACCAAATCTTTCGTAAACTTCAGTTTATCCATCTGCATTTTTGACCTCCCGGGAGTACTGTAAAGCTGTTAATTACATGAATGTAAAGTAGGTGTAGAGTGTTTATATTCCCATTCAGGT